AACCCTACCCCTACCCCTACCCCTAACCCTAAATCTATTGCCATGTCTGTTGGGTTGATGTTTGTTATTGAAGCAGATTTGAACATATTCTGAGCAAATTACATTTAAATTAAAATGTTAGATGTTTCATCACAGCACAATAACAAGTCCTAATGCTGTTTAATAGAGATGTGAATGAACACTTTCTACACTCTAAAAATAAAAGGTTCCTGGAGGATCCTTTAGGGGTTCTTCTAATTGAAACTGTGGGGGAACCCCTATGAATTCTTCAAAGAACCCCTTTTAATGGATCCTCGAAGAACCTTTTGAAGAACCTTTTGGGGTTAATTTTTGAACAATCCCCCCCCCCCCCCCCTATTATTATTAATACTAATAATACGCATAACAATAACACAATATTTTAGTTGTGAGTGTTTATTATGATTTTAGTGGCAAAGCAGAATCAAATATCAAAAAATGAGGTAAACTCCCAGCAGAGCCCCAAGTCCAATGGATATATCCTCTGGCGTGTTGATGTTAATGTGTTGATGTTCTCCGTATCCATAGCCAGAATGATTTTGCAGTGCATGGTGATCAAACAGGTTTCCTGTTATATTCATCAGAGGTGTAGGGAGGGTGAAGTCTGTGAATCCACCACATTTTAATTATACAGATGATTAACAGAACATACACACGACAGTATTCATACCTTGGTTTTTGTGGTAAATATTAATGAAAAAAACTGTTTTGATAATGGTTTTCATACACATACCTTGTCCATAATGTAGAGGCCTGTGGGATATTCATTGCAGAGGTAAGGGAGGAGGATGGTACATGTGATCTGCATAACATACCAATACCAATTGACATACCTTTGTATGCCCCCTCGTCTGTATACCTGCAGACACAGACACAAAAGTGAGCAGTTCAGTCATCTGCACCCAATACAGCTAGCCTTCAACATATTCTTATAGCATACATATTCTTACCTCTTTGTTGATGGATATCCAATGACTTGTGTCCATTTTCTGTTTTAGAAAGATTTGCACAAATATGAAAAGATAGATGGTATCATCATAAAACAATATCTCAGTTGGTAGAGCATGGTGCTTGCAACGCCAGGGTTGTGGGTTCGTTTCCCACGGGGGGCCAGTATGAAAATGTATGCACTCACTAACTGTAAATCGCTCTGGATTAGAGCGTCTGCTAAATGACTAAAATGTAAATGTATGTCATATAAGGGACAAACCTTACCTTAAATTGAGGAGATTTTTACATTTTTCAGTTAAGTGTCTGCACCTGCTGTCCTGTCATATTGACATCCAAATATTTCAGTTGGGCCATTAGGTTCCTGTAAGAACCGTCACCAACTAAGGAGGTTCCTCGATTAACCCCACCACCTATGGGGTTCTTGGAAGAACCCTTTGGTGCCAATTTTCAGTACCAAGAACCCTAAGGTTCTTCACAGAACTTTGGGGATCTTAGAATAATAATATGCCATTTAGCAGACGCTTTTATCCAAAGCGACTTACAGTCATGTGTGCATACATTTTTTTTGTGTATGGGTGGTCCCGGGGATCGAACCCACAACCTTGGCGTTACAAGCGCGGTGCTCTACCAGCTGAGCTACAGAGGACCAGCGCTAGAAGAAGCTTGAACCCCTATTTTTAGAGTGTATAGTGCTTCTATCCACCTTGGACCTAAAAAATATTCTTATTGATTGGTGTTGGTTCTTGTACCTTACAAGGACACACTAACATTCAAATGATATTTTAGGGCTCTGATTATATACCTTTGGGACATTGTGATTCTCTGGGTATGTGTGTCTTTTGGAGGGGTTGGACTAAAGAAACGTTTCATTTTAACAATAACGTATCGCAGTCTTCCTCTTCATTAAATATTTTCTCAAACCCCTTTTTGTAGATTTAATTCCGGAAAATCTAATTAATAGATTAAAAGGTCAATTAAAGTAGCCACAAATTAGTGGGAGCGTAATGATGTGTAAATATATTTATGACTGTATTCATGTGATATGTGGTCTCTGGGGAGGCAGGGTGTTGGCACAAACACTTCTGGACAAAATGTCCTGATGCCTGAGAATATTTGGAAACATTTTCATCATTAATCTGTATATATAGTTGTTTTACTATATTCATACACATACAGCATATTATACAGCTATAATAAACAGACGGGTCGTATTTGTTTGAGTTATTCACCGCAGCGTCAGGGAATCAGTTGATCCTCAAATGAAGTGAATAAATCTCCTGGTCCATAATTTATGTTGTCTACAAATTATCCTTGACGTTGTGGTCTCAACTGTAATTACACGATAGATAAGAAATACATTATTTCAAACATCCACAATATAATTGTTCTAAAAGGACCGTTTGCTTACTTGCATACCTCAGACGTTAGATAGACCTGTGGTATATGTCTGCTCTTATTCGTCCCTAATCATTTCTATATTCGATCATAAGCTATTTGATTATAATGTGGTCTAGAGGCACCTTGGGCTTACATCTTATTTAAGGTTTTAAAGCTCTAATCGGTAACGTTTAAGTGTCGTTTAACTGCGGCTGCTATTCTCCTCCGTCTTATTTCCCAGTTAATGTGTTGTGTCAAAGTCTATTACCTCTGCTGGACGGCGACGTCCCTTAAGTTGAAAAAACCCTCCCCGAACCATCAGCAGAGGGCTGCAGGTCGATAAAGCTTTTAGATTTGGAGATGTTTTCTGGGAGCCCGTTTCCTGCGGCTAAGAGTTGTTAATGGAGCTTAAGGAATTATCTTATGACTCTGGGTCTGAAGTAGTTTATTTCCTGGGTCCTGCTCCGGTGTCGAAGCGGAATATGCTCCTGTCAAACCCGCTTAATGAAAAGCAACGCGTCGCTGATTACACTTTTATTTGGTCTCTATGTAGAAAGCAGCGCTGTTAATTTACCATCCGCTCCTCTGTGTGTTTGAATTCGCTACGGATGAATGATTTGGTCTGCCTGTTAAAAAACACTTCTCTCTCTCTCTCTCTCACTCTCTCTCTCTCTCTCTCTCTCTCTCTCTCTCTCTCTCTCTTTCTCTCGCTGCTGAAATGGAAAAAGGGAAATAGCCACTTTGGTGCAAAAGTTCAATAGAATTGTCCTCAATATTATTATATTAAAAATATTAATTGATCTTTTAGTTTATAGGATGACCAATTGTAAAACCTGTAGCCAATTTTTTTATGTTTATAATTGACACAAATCTCGAAAGCATCTTGTTTCCTCATTGAAATGAAGACAATCCCTAAAATAAAATAAACAACAGGCTTGTTGCCACCAAGTCATATTGCTGTCTCTTGTATTTATGTTGCTATTGAATTGTAAAGGCCTGTTGTGTTTCGGTATAACGTGAACGTCTCTATCCTGCTACAATATCAACATGGTGCTGAAGGTAAAACTGGTCTGGCAAAACAAATGAAAACATCCAGACAGGAGAAAGACTTTGTCCAGCAGGCAGCTCTGTTCTAGTTGTTCCAGGGAAGATCTCAGTCGTTTGGCTTCACATTAAAACGCCTCATCTCTCTCAGAGCAGCTTTCTCTCTGAGGAGCTCTCTTTCCCTCTCAGGCCCGGTGTCCCCCAGGAGCTCACACAAGCCATTACTGTCAAGTACCCTCCACTCTTTATTTTTGCCCTTTTATCTAGAACAACTAATTCACGTTCCGTTGCCCTTTTCACTCCAAGACGTGTCTTCTGGTAAAGCCCTTCACCAGGCGGCTCGAGAGCCCTCAGAGTGTCAGGATGAAAACTTGACTCCAGATGATCTCGGCTGTTGGCAATATTAGCGGCCATATAGAATAAGTGAGCCCTCTGCCAGCTGGATCAGAGATCAAAGATCAGGTTTAGATGTCTCCATCATATTATCAGGAGGAGTGGAGATCGATAGTCTGACAGAGCTATTAAGGAATATATCCCAATTATAGTCTATTTATGGTGTAGTAATAAACCACATCTCCCCGCCTGCTGGTATTACTGTTGAAGGCTTCCTCCTCTGGTATTACTGTTGAAGGCTCTCTCTCTCTCTCTCTCTCTCTCTCTCTTCTCTCTCTCTCTCTCTCTCTCTCTCTCTGTCATCTCTCTCTCTCTCTCTCTCTCTCTCTCTCTCTCTCTCTCTCTATCTCTCTCTCTCTCTCTCACTCTCTCTCGCTCTCTCTCTCTCCTCTCTCTCTCTCTCTCTCTCTCTCTCTCTCTCTCTCTCTCTCATCCCCCCTGACACTGGGAGAGAGGAGAAGTTGACTCAAAAACTAAATTTATGATTATAGATTTAACAGCTTTAAAAAACGTGACGTTTTATGTACTGTCAGTCCTTATTGCCTTGAATGCTGCGTGTTTGAAGCAATAGGCCAATAAAGCAGTCTTGCTATAAACATATTGTCAACTTTGTATTTCTTTACTCTGTACGATCTCTTAACCGTGACAAAGGCAAATACAAATATAGGATAAGCTAAAGACAAGGCGACGAAGACGGAAAGATCATTTTGTTATCGCAAATTCGAAAATGTAATAGCCTATAATTTCAGCACCTTGGACAGCGACCGGCATTGACGCAATCTGAACACAAGCTCATCAGAAACTGACGTTTTATTTGTGAACAAACTTGAAACACACTCCTTCAATTTTAGTAGAACTGTGGATTTGTGACGTTATTTCTTTCAACAGTGATACCCACAAACCATCGTTTAACGACGGCTGCTTTTTAAAGAATGTTTAATAGAAATTATTAACATCTGCATGCTATAAGAAAAATAATCCTGTAAACGTGTTAATTCTAATGTTAACTGTCAGTTATACATTTAGATACAGTAGACTGTAGGCAGGCCTACGTGCTTTTTAACGAAATAGCAATATGCTCAAACGAATCCTGTTTGGAAGTTTCACCAGTGAAATGCCAATTTGATAAGTACATAGATATATACTTGCAACAACAAAAAAAAGGAAGAAAAAAAAGCTACTCCTACAGAATAATAAACTAAAGCAGGTCTGGTGTGTTAAGAGCAGAAGAGTTTGTTGGCAGTTTTAGGAAAATTCATATTGTCCTTCGTGGCGTCTTGGTGCTGTAGAGACGGAAGTCCTTTGATGCTCCCAACAGAATGTTCCAGAGCGCCGGTCTCTAGTATCGAGCCCTTGGTGGTCGTGGTCCACGACACCGTGGTGTTGGTCAGGGCCTGGTTCAAAGTACTGTGTCTGAACAACGGGTCGTGGAAAACCCCATCCACCCAGTTTCTGAGAGTTGTAACGGGAGAGTCCTGCCGTCTGTCTAGAACCGTGATAGGGGAGGAGGCGGCCGGAGAGGCGGGCAGGCCCGGCTGACACCTCAACATACAGGACGGGTACTCCGCCTGATTCAGAGACGTGGCCGTCTGGGCCAACGACCAGATCCGTGGTTTGCCGTCCAGTATCTGGTCGCCCTGTTGTTGGTAGCAGGCTTTCCCCTGCCGGCTGTCGCAGTCCTCTGGTGAGGTTTTACTGAGCTGCTGCTCCCCGCCCAGGGACACGGGAATGCTGATCTTTAAAGATGTGTCCTTCAGATGGTCGTTCGAACAGTCAGTCGTCGTCATGTGAGTGTTCATGAGGTACTGGTGTTTGAGCTCGCACTCCGAGCTCTCTGATTCTATCATGTCGAAGTCTTCCAGGTCACTCAGCGCGAGATCCTTATCTTTCTCTGGAAATTAACAGACATGAGACATCAGCGATAAGATGGGAATCAAACTGTAATAAAATGATCACTGTCAAGTGTCATTTAAGCATTTAGCATCACATTGTTGAAACGGGCTAAGGCTTTCATGCTTCTTCTGGTAAAGGACTATTCCACTGTTAGTGTGTTACATAAAAACCAGGACTATTCCACTGTTGGTGTAATACATAAAGAACCATGACTATTCCACTGTTAGCCTGTTACATAAAGAACCAGGACTATTCCACTGTTAGCGTGTAACATAAAGAACCAGGACCCTTCCACTGTTAGTGTGTTACATAAAGAACCAGGACTATTCCACTGTTTGCATGTTACATAAAGAACCAGGACTCTTCCACTATTAGCATGTAACATAAAGAACCAGGACTATTCCACTGTTAGTGTGTTACATGCTAACAGTGGAAGAGTCCTGGTTCTTTATGTAACACGCTAACAGTGGAATAGTCCTGGTTCTTTATGTAACACACTGACAGTGGAAGAGTCCTGGTTCTTTGTGTTACACGCTAACAGTGGAATATAACCAGGACTATTCCACTGTTAGCGTGTAACATAAAGAACCAGGACTATTCCACTGTTAGTGTGTTACATAAAGAAGCAGGACTCTTCCACTGTTAGCGTGTTACATAAAGAACCAGGACTATTCCACTGTTAGCGTGTTACATAAAGAACCAGAACTGACCATCATCGTTGTTCTCACTGTTGATGTTCTCCTCCTGAGAACCCTCATCATCTTCATTATATCTCTTCTCATCAGAACACTTGTTCCTCGGAGGCCACGTCATCTTGTTCTCCTTCTTCAGCCTCCTCCTGGCGTTGGCGAACCAGGTGGACACCTGCGTCAGGGTCATCTTAGTAATGATGGCCAACATGATCTTCTCTCCCTTGGTGGGGTAGGGGTTCTTCCTGTGCTCCTGTAGCCAGGCCTTCAGGGTGCTGGTTGTCTCTCGGGTGGCGTTCTTCCTCCTGGTCCCTCCGTCCATACAGCCATATCTAGTAGTGAAGATGTAGAGTTATAGCAATGTCTCACTGTAACAATAGGCCTATATATCTATCTATAGGGTCCTGTAGCAGAAGAGAGGCAAGATAACAACTCCTTGTGTCCTGTCCATTACAAATGCATAGTGTTGATTCATCCAGCAGTACCCTGCAGCCCAACAGACCCCTGGGGAGCCTTTAGAAAAGCAGAATGCCCCTGTATGAGTGAGGTCACAGGGCACCGCTAGGCTAACTGCCTCTCCATCCAGAAGACTGACTGCTAGGTGAGTAAACACAGAGCACCGCTAGGCTAACTGCCTCTCCATCCAGAAGACTGACTGCTAGGTGAGTAAACACAGAGCACCGCTAGGCTAACTGCCTCTCCATCCAGAAGACTGACTGCTAGGTGAGTAAACACTGAGCACCGCTAGGCTAACTGCCTCTCCATCCAGAAGACTGACTGCTAGGTGAGTAAACAAAGAGCACCGCTAGGCTAACTGCCTCTCCATCCAGAAGACTGACTGCTAGGTGAGTAAACACAGAGCACTCCTAGGCTAACTGCCTCTCCATCCAGAAGACTGACTGCTAGGTGAGTAAACAGAGCACCGCTAGGCTAACTCCCTCTCCATCCAGAAGACTGGGGAAAACAGACTGGAGAATTGTGTTATTGAGTGTTATGATTCAGCCCCAGGTGAAAGGGCCTAAAGCATTAGTGTAATATTCAGCACTAAGTGTCCTCCTGTAGGCTAAGCCCAGGGATAGAACTATGTCCCATGTCTCTAGTGGAGTTCATGGAAACCTATTATACACTTCAATAAGAACAGTTTCAAGTTTGGCAACTCATCAACTAATGCTATGAATTTGATCCAGTAAAAGGCCTGATATTCCTATACCATTTGGAGGCCAGTACTGTAGTAGACAGGTGTTTTTCTAATAGTTGTTAACTTAGAGGTAAGGTGACTCATGTCAGTCAACAAACATATGAAGGATTGGGAAATGGGCTACTGTTTGACAGAACATAATTATGTTTGTAATGTTGTCAACTCATATTGGTACTGTGCAGAGTAGGATCGCATGGATAGTACAAAATTAAATTACCTGTATAGTATTATAATTTTTTATAATTTTTATAATTATAATTATTATTATAATTATTATTATTAGTAGTAGCATTATTATAGTCACCATACCTGTCGTATTGGTACTGTGCAGAGTAGGATCGCATGGATAGTACAAAATTAAATTACCTGTATAGTATTATAATTATAATTATAATTATAATTATATTATAGTCACCATACCTGTCGTATTGGTACTGTGCTAGAGTGGGGTCATATGGATAGTGCACAATTATATTATATTATATATTAAATATTATATATTATTAACATTATTATTATAGTAACCATACCTGTCGTATTGATAATGTCCCAGAGTGGGGTCATAGGGGTAGTACACTATTATTATTATTATTATTATTATTATTATTATTATTATTATTATAGTAACCATACCTGTCGTATTGATAATGTCCCAGAGTGGGGTCATAGGGGTAGTAAGCTGCTGCCTGGGTTATCCTCGCATGCGCAGGCTCTGTTGCATCTTTGTTATCGAATGTCCCCTGCAACAAGACAGACTGTCAGTCAGGAAAAGGTGACATTATTGACTTTTATACTTAATAACATGTTTACAGTTTTTCTAATAACATGTATACTGTTTCTTAATAACATTTTACATTTACATTTTAGTCATTTAGCAGACGCTCTTCTCCAGAGCGACTTACAGTTAGTGAGTGCATACATTTTCATACTGGCCCCCCGTGGGAAACGAACCCACAACCCTGGCGTTGCAAGCGCCATGCTCTACCAACTGAGCTACAGGAGGCTACATGTACACCGTTGCTTAATCATTTTACTCATAAAGTCTAGTGATCCCATTTCAACACACACACACACACACACACACACACACACACACAACAATAACAGTCACTAAACATGTTGTTCAATAGCAAAGTCAAGTTATATCTGTGTTATTGTAGACGTTCTATAACTAATGAATACAGGGAAACAATGATAGACCCATAATCGAGCACACTGCGGTGTATGTTGTAGACCAACATTAAACACATCCATTCTTAACATAGTTGTGACACTTTCACTTGCCAAACTCAACTTTTTATTAAAAGTTGCACTTGGCTATTCAGTCATAGCCTGCGGTTGGTTCACCGTGAAGACAGGTTTACTGTATGAAGACTTCAATAGTCATACCGTGTGCGTAAAGCGGCGTCCTGTGACTGGAGGCTATAGGCTACATAGATACAGAGCTGTGACTGTAGGCTATAGGCTATATATATACAGCTCTGTGACTGTAGGCTATAGCATATATAGATACAGCTCTGTGACTGTAGGCTATAGGATATATAGATACAGAGCTGTGACTGTAGGCTATAGGCTATATATATACAGCTCTGTGACTGTAGGCTATAGGATATATAGATACAGCTCTGTGACTGTAGGCTGTAGGCTATATAGATACAGCTCTGTGACTGTAGGCTATAGGATATATAGATACAGCTCTGCGACTGTAGATTATAGGCTATATAGATACAGCACTGTGACTGTAGGCTATATAGATACAGCTCTGTGTCTGTAGGCTATATGCTATATAAATACAGCTCTGTGACTGTAGGCTATATAGATACAGCACTGTGACTGTAGGCTATAGGCTATATAGATACAGCTCTGTGTCTGTAGGCTACAGGCTACAGATACAGCGTCATTAGTCACTGCCATAGAGAGATGAGTAGAATTATTATGATATTATATTATTTTATAGTACCCATACCAGCGAGTAGAAAGCGGACGCGTCGGTTCCATAAGTAACGTAATTTCCATAGCTTTGACTCCCGGTGTACGGGTTCCCATACACCCCCAGAGCCGCTGCGGAGCTCAGCTCGTGCCTGGCGCTGGCCAACAACCGGCTCTCGTACACTGGGCAGTAGACCGGCGTCTGGGCGGAGGCTGTCACCCCGGAGTCAGCGATGCTTCTGCCGCTTGACTCGCAGCAAGTTGTCAAAGAGTTGGTTGTCATGAGGAACTGAAATGCAAGAAGAAAATAGCACGTTTTCTATAGAATACCGTGAATTGGTGTTATGGATGTTTAGGCTATTTGCAAAACAACCCTTTATAATTAAAATATGTAAAATGTTTCCAGAATCCCCATATATGTTCTCCCAAAAGACATATTATGGATGATTGCCAAAAATACACCAGGTGGGTTGTCTATCCAGCCCCCGCCATAAAAGCATGCATGTCCACAAAACAGGTTGGCATGTGGGATATCAGATGATAAACATATGGCACGCATTCCGAGGCTATTATCTGGTAGAAATCAGTAAACGAAAGGTCGGAGTGCGCCTGTTTCTGGTTACCCTCCTTACCTTTACCGTTCAAAGAACAGGTATCATGAGCCATTTACCGTAACATAATACAATTCCGATACTGTGCATTAAGATACACTGCTTTTTCCTTTCTTGTTGAAAGTGCATTACATGATCAACATTTAATCAATATAAGAATCAATAGTGATGAAATCTAACCGAATATGCCGTTGATAACCGAGAAGGTAACTTACTTGTGGTGCAGACGAGTAGGGATATCCGAATTGTGGATATGACATTGTAGAGGTCCCAATATACGTAGATAAAGCGAGCCTGCAGGTCCCCTCGCTATAGTAACGTAGCCTTGCACTGTTTCAATGTACCAATTGATTGGTAAGCACAGGCAGTAGGCTGGAGGCTTATAGGGCGAACCACACTACCATGTTTAATATGTTAAAATGCCTCCAAAACGACTCTCCAAAATGCGCCCTCTCTTTTTCCCTTGTCTTTTTAACTCTTATAATGTGCAAATGAATTAGGACAGTGAAATATATTTGTCCAGATTGATGACTTTGATGTCAGAAATACATATTTCGCTTTATAAAAAAAAGTAGTATAAAACACCTCAGCCCAGATGCAGGTTGTTTTAAACACCAGTGACTCTGACGTCAGAAGAAACCCACTCAAAGTGTCTAGACTGTAACTTCAAAATGCATTTCTGTGGATAAAACCCAACAAGTAACAGAGCGAAACCCACTCAAATTGTCTAGACTGTAACTTAAATATGCATTTCTGGGGATAAAAATCGAACAAGTAACAAAGAGTGGGACGAAGCCTGTAGGAGATTTAATCGGATTGCAATTCAATCACTCAATGAACCAATGATTTGAATATGCCATTCCTTATCTCCATGTAGATCTAATAGGTGCAATTAAAAATGTGAAGCAGGAGGAACATGTTCGATTGTGAATTAATTAACTAGCAACTCATCTCTCCCGTTAGTAATTATATAGTCCATTAATAAACATATCCATATGGAGACTATTTCAATGGGGAAGGTTCACAAAACAAACGCGGGAGATGTGTAGTATTTTAACCACTTTTCTAATATTAAAAATATACTGAACTGTTCTCCTCATGAACCTATCCTCACTTGGTTCCCTTGAGATTTGGTCATTATTTGGTTAACACCAATTAACATTGATTTCGATAAATGCCCCTGCAATTACGTTCAACTTCATCTCAATTAAACTTGTAGACGTAAATGTAAATGTGGACAGCCTCTCTGAAATGTTTACAAAATGTTGTATCACACTTTCAGAATTTCCCTCTCGTGTTATTCTCCTCTTGGCAAAATGACAGAGTGGGAGAGTTTGCTCTCCGTTAATTTCCCAGCCCAAAGCTGGAAGTCGCTTCTCCAATAACTTTAATGTGTGGAGTGTCAGAGGGTGTGAGGCGGGTCTGGGTCTACTTTGGGACCGGGCAGGGTCCACTCTGGGGCCGGGCTGGCTCTGGGTCTCAGCTGGGTGGGGCAGCGGGCAGAGACGGGTTCCACGGTGTGCTGACTTGCTTAGAGAAGCCTGGGTTCAGACATGTGAATAGCCCGGGGGTCACACTCAAATTAATGATGATGTTCTCCTCTGTTCCCAGCTGGAACGCCGCGCCCTGGGTGACAGCTCGAGGAGGGTGATGGATGGTTACCTCGGGACCCGCCAACACAATATCATAGGCTACCCACAGCATAATTACCGCACATCTACAGATGAAAGTACCTGTGCTCAAATTAAGTTAAGACTGTATGAGGCAAGTTTCTTGTAGAGTTTATAAACAGAGTGTTCTGTCGATCAATTGAATTAGTGTGACATCTCAGACCAAAACAGTCACATTTAACATTTACCAGGAACATGAGCGCCAGGTCAGAGGACGGGACCGATCTGACAGGACTTTTAATTTGCATTAAACTGTAAATGGCACCAGAAGCCACATTTCATTCATCAAACTTAATTATTCAAACTTAATTATTCAAACTTTTTGGGGGCGTTTAATAAAAATACATAGAGTGGTTTTTCAAATTCATTGCAAAATACATTTTAATCTCAACGAAATCAACTGGATAAAACAAGCTAAGTCTAAATACATTGTAAAGAATATATTGGGCTGCAGGTCGTTCTGGTTTTACTTGGGGCAAATTTCATATCACTTGATTTTGACAAGATGTTACCATTGATTTGAGAAACTGGAGGTATTTGGACACACACACACACACACACACACACACACACACACACACACACACACACACACACACACACACACACCTGGGGGTTATTTCAAATGAATCTACCTTCACCCTCATTGATATTTTAGTTTATATATTTATTTATTTTTACGAATAATGACATATCAAAACCGACCTCATGTTTTTTATTTCATAACCCGTACTGTTTGCTTGGTTATTACAATAAAATACATTTAACCACTTCAGATAATCTAAAAATTGGCCTTTGCTGTACTCATGTGTTTCACATTGGAAAAGACAGGGAAGTTTGATGGACGTGTCCAGTAAACGGTATTGTCCAGGCGGCCTCTCCGTATCCATTTTCATTATCCTGCTTGTGTTATCACGTCCCTATGAAATATTTAGATGACCCAGTATATGCTTTTAGATGGAAACGAAGGCTGCTCAGAGGTTCATTCTTGTTTAGCGTTTAAAGATTAAAAGAGAGCGCTCTTCTGTGACAGATGGCGTCCATTTAATGTAGAGCGGTATATGATGGTTATGAAGTCTACTTTAATGTACAACAATATGGTTACAGGCCTAGTGGATGTACTGTATGTGAGGTTGGTTGGCAGTAGTTCATTGGAGTTGAAATGTAAATGATAATAGATCATTATCTATCAGTCTTATCATAAAGTGAAGAATGGCTTTAATCTTACTATATAAATGAAGACAGATGCACGTCTCTTATGTAGACAGCATCCATCACTCATGACTCGCATTAATCAACTGAACTGCCCACTCTGGAATTAATGCAATAGCTTTGATACAGTTTTTCTATCTGTTTTACTTTTAAATAATAAAATGCATAACATGTCATAATATTTATCTGCAAGTTTGCGATGTTTCTGAGGGGGGAAACGTTAATTTTGTATCAACTTGGACTCAATGCTCTTCTAAATGTATGCATTTGAGTGGATATGTGGTCCTCTGTAGCTCAGCTGTTAGAGCACGGCACTTGTAACGCCAAGGTAGTGGGTTCGATCCCCGGGACCACCCATACGTTAAAATTTATGCACGCATGACTGTAAGTCGCTTTGGATAAAAGCGTCTGCTAAATGGCATATTATTATTACATTATTATATGTCTGCATATCCCGAGTGGACCTATCGTTGCACTACTATAATAATTGTTGAGACTTGTTAAATGCATCGTTAACTTGAGTTTCCAGTTTATATAACATTCAATTCATTAACCTGTCACTTTATAATTTATCTGGTTGATTAATGACGCAGCCAGAACACTGGGAGAGCAGCGCAGAACAGGAGAACCTCGCTTCAACATCACTTCACACCAGTGAGAATGACTGTGAAACAATTTACAAAATGTTAATCTCTCAGTGACCGTCTCTGTATCATGGAATTATTATACATATTGAAAAAAAGATACCAAGATGCTCCTTTTATGAGGATAGATTGCAATTTACAGTAACATTCGTATATTTTTTGGACCAATAAAGGTTAAATATTTAATTGGATCTCAATATGTCAATTAATCCAGGCAGGCCATCCGTGTTACAAGTCAGTATTCGATTGCTGTCCATGTCTGAGGACTTCGGGAGATTACGTGAAAACCGGTCACTAGGGGCAACAGTTAATGCTATTACCTTTAAATAGGCGTTGTGGACGGGATGGCGGAAGGAGGTGAAAATCTGCCTTTGATTCCAGCCAAAGGTTGCGTGTTCAAATCCAGTGATAGAAAGTTGTTTTTGGTATTTTTGTTATAAACCTAAACCCTTACTTTAACCATTCGAGTTAATGCCTAACCTTAAGAATTCGGAGTTAATTCCTAAACTTAACCTTGGAATGATACACTTCGAAATGTGAAGTTTGGAACAACTTCGAAATTTGGTGAACATCTAATTCTGATGTGAGACTGTGAGAGCTAGTTGAATTAATCATGCATTGTAATGCAATAAATGTACGCACAACTTAATTATAAAGTATTTAACTTGTATTAGTCCAGTACATGCATAAAAGTTTGAACAAGTTATGCCATGACTGTTGTGTAGAAACAGCTGTATGACTTAGTCTCAAATCAATGAGTAAGATTTTCAGTGTCTAATTTCACAGCAGTCCTCTTGAGTTTGTAGCTGAGCTGCCTGTGCCTTACTAAAGTAGCTAGACGGGTTGAGGGACATCATACACATTCATTTAGTCAGTTTCAGTGGTTTGATAAGTTGTCAAGGATGTACTATTTAAAGTAATCGATTCAAAGTGGTGGGAGTTAAACTCCATAAGACCCTCTCCACAAATATGGTCCATCATTGAACATCTATGAGTACATGAATGGTGTTTATAGTAAGTCTATTATTGTGTATAACAGTCTTCATTCATGTTGCTCAAACCAGATGTAGCGCTAAATCTAATATGTTCTGAGACCTAACCCTAATTTAAACCTAAATGACTTTTCTGAACCCAAATCTGAATATAACCCTA